TATGGATTAGATCTGTAATTAATGGCTTAAAATTTAAAAGGTTTTTTTTTTGTGTCCACATGTGTAATCTAACCATTTTTGCATGAATAAAGTGATCTACAACTTATTATCACAATTCACAAGTGAATTAGATATAAGTTAAGAATTAAAAACTAATTCAACTAAAGCTCCGTTTTTTTCGGAAAAAAAAAGATTTTTGAAAAATAATTTTTTCATTTTTAAGTGTTTATTTGACAAAAAAATTAGTAGATCAAAGAAAAATAACTTACTAATCAATGAAAAATAAGATAAATTTTTTGAAAATTATTTTACAGATTTAAAAATATTAATATATTTTTTAGAAAAAAATTGTCTATGAGTATAATTATTTATTAATATTTTTAGCATAATTTTACATATAAATAATATTATATTAATAAATAATACAATAATAAATATTATTAATTTATTTATAAATATTATAATAATATATTAATAACTAATATATTATTAATAAATAATATACTATTAATATATTATATTAATAAATAATATTAAAATATATTAATAAATAATATAAAGAATAAGAAATAGTTTAATTTAAGTATTTTTTATATTAACATAATATTTTAATATTAAATATTATTATTAAATATAATTATTTTTAAATATTAATTATTTTAGTAATAAATAATTTCAATATATTTTACTAATAAATAATTTTTAATATTTTAATAATTATATTAAAATTATTAAAAAATAGATTTTCCAAAAAAAAAAATCAAACAATGAAAAATATTTTTCATTAACTTATCAAAATAACAAAAAACTCTTTCAATTCAAAAACTATAAATATTTTTCAAAAATTATTTTTTTTACAAAACAAATAGAATTTAAGTACGAAAATATAAACCACTTATTATCTTTATTTATTTAATATTTACACCTAACTGAGGAAGTCTTTGACGTGTGAGATATGAACAAACCCAGCAGCCATACAATCACATGCGCATGCTGATCAAGTTCATGAACTTGTCCGAATACTATATTGACTTTTATCTTATCGTCTTGATTTGAACTTAGAATCTCTCGTAGATTCGTAAGTCGGCAGGGTTGGGGAGATGGGGGTTTGAAATATTGTTTGACAAAATGACCACGTTTAAATTTGACAGTCAAACCAGGAACCGCAAAATTACTACATGTCATAATTATTTATTTCGACTTGAAGGGTACTGTAAACGCAATAGTATTGCAGGAAACACGTAACATGTAACACTCGTGTCTGTCTGGAATCTTAATGAACTAGATCCCAAAAATGCATGGTCGTTTTCAAATTAATGGGTATCCGAACAAACAGCCAATTATTTTGTTTGAGCACTGTTGATTTCGAATTTGTGTGGACTTTGTCAAACAAAAATGTAATAAAAATAATAAAGGCAGACGGAGTGGAGTGCTCAATTTTTTTTTTTTGGTAAATTATCCTTGTCACTTACATATTTCATTTGTTTCAATTTTAGTCCATAAATTAGAAGAAAAAGTTTTACTGTATGGTAAAAATTTGAAGCCTTGCGACAACTATAGTGGAAAACAAACAAATTACTATGAAGCAGCAGCATGTGATCTTTGCACTGATGTGCAGCTGCTCCTTTGGTTTGCGGACAAAAGAATTCATTTGCTAAAAGTTAGAGAAAATAAATGCAACATTGGAGGGAAGAGAGTGGTAGATCATTATTCAATCACAATTTTTTAATTATTTGGATTATAATGTAATTTCATCCCCATTCCACCCTAAACTTTTCTTCAAGTAGGTTAAAAATTCTTGGTTGGGTCCAATCATATACATTGCACTAACTCATTTTCAACCTAATTTTTTTTTTCTTTTGAAGTTATTAATATTTGAATTAAATTTAATAATTTAAAATATAATATAAAAATAATAAAAAATATACAATTTAAAATAAAATTATATATTATGCTTACAATATGAATATACAATTATAATAAGATAACTTTTATATTTTATATGTATCAAATATTAAACGAATATAAAATTATTTTTTTTAAAACCCAGTGAAAAATATTTCTATTAAAATTTACTTGACGCACATGCACGCTGTAAACGCAACAAAGGATTTTATAAAATGTTTCTATTAAAATATGTCCGAAAAATCTATAAGGTGTGTCTACAGAAAAATTTTGAGATGTCCCAGATAAATATTTTTTTTAATTTTGGAGTGTCATGAGCATCATTTGCATCTGCCATCATGAACAGTTATTTCCTTCTCTTTCAGTTTCCCATCTCCCGACAATCATAGTCCATCATCCAACCAAAACATCTAGGCAAGATTTATTTTGATTTTCAAGACATTGATATGCACGATGTAGCTTTTGAGGCTGTTTTGATGAGACGTAGCCAAATTATGCAGTCCGTGGTGAAAGATTTTGGAGTTCCTTTTACGTGCCTTGGAGCTGTTTGTTAAAATGTTTGTTTCGATGAATATGATAACAAAGATTTAGACGTTGTGTTGGTGCTCTTTTTCAATCTGGTTGTATCCAGAAAACCCTAAACTCACCTGAAGGTTGAACAAACGTCTTCGAAATCAAGCAAAATTTTCAGGGTGATTGGCTTTAGATTGAAGAGTAATTATCCAAAAAATAAAATAAAAATAAATGACAAAAGTTTACCGGCAAAACGTATCAAATGAAGCTTAAGGCTTCATTTGGAATTCACTAATCCTTTAATTCAATGCGCTTAAAGCATTGTTTTCAACTCAATGTCACCGGATTATGTATGAATAAAATTATTATTATAAAAATAATTTAAATTATTTTTAAATTATTTAAAATTATAATTTGATATAAAAATATTTTTAATATCATAAATATTAATTAAATTTATTATATCCAAATTTTAATATAATATGTTTACTGATAATTTTCTCTCACTATATTTAATCCCATAATCATTATTAATTTTAAATTCAAATAATTATCTTATTACTAATTTTAATTTTACGTTATAATATTAAATTTTATTATTATAATATTTAATTTTAATTTTTTATTATTTTTAACTTCATCAAATCTAATATCACCGCCGTTCAAATGATCTTGGATCAGGTAGAATAGATTTTTGTGAAAAAATTTCCAATAACGTGTGAATGACAAAAAAAAAAAAAAAATTAAACTGACGTTCACGTAATCCTGTTCTCAACGTTGTACGTTCGAAATTGGACCACACCAAATTTCTTGGCTACCTACTGTTCTTGCTCTCTTGGATGTATGTTATGGAAGGCGGCACCCATATTGCAGATTTTGGAGGTGGATTCGGCTTCCACGTACTGCCATCATCTGCCGTTGGATTTGTTCGGCATATCAATCAAACTTTGAGCTCGTAATAACGCATTAAAATGGTTTGTCTTGATTTTTAAAGATAGTATTTAATTTCAAAAAAATATAATTATTTTTATTTTTATTTTGTTAAAATATTAAAAATATAAATTAAAATACGAAATAATAAAACAAAATATTATTGTTAAAGAATGAATACCATTTATGAGTAGTCAGATTGTTTCGATAATAATATAAAATAGCATGAATTCAAATGTCACCTACTTATAGTTGAGTGTCACTTTTCAAGTGTGGAATGACAATGGTGGTGGATCTACCGTGCAAGCAGTGAATGCTGCCCCAATTATTCTCCATAATTGAAGTTTGAAAATGGATAGTGAGATGGGAAATCAAAGATAAAACGAAATTCATACCATTTAAGGAACTTTCGAGCTTTAGGACACCTCAAGTTTTAGAGCCCAAAAGAAGAAAAATACCCAATCTTTCAAGTTTTGCCCCCTGAAAAACAGAGGAAACATACGGGATAACAGCGATTTTTGAGGCAGAAGAAGCACTTTAGCCATTTACTGAACCTTGATGTGTGCATTATTGCTCATAACAATTTTCCTTTTTCCTGCTTTTTCACTGATCACTACTTGTCATAATCAGTGGACAGTAGGTAACATGTTGACAGTCTTCTTGTAGTTGGTGCCATTTTCAGCATCAGCAATATGAAAGGATCAGTGCAGACGGATGGATATAAATTTGAGTGCACACTGTTCAATAATTATGACACCATGTCTTGTCTTTCCATAGCACACTTCTGAATTATTATATATCAACTTCATAATTTTATTTTTTTTTACTATCTAATTCCAATTTCAATATGAGTTTTTTTAATGAATTTTCTAATAATCAAAGCTAAAAAATAATATACTTAAAAGAAATGCTAATCACCAATTTTAATCAAAAACATTATTGTCAAAGATCCATTGAGATTATGATTTTAAAAAAGTAAAAAAAAGAAACAAATACAAACCTTTTCAATGAAGCAATGGATAAGTTTTAACATCCAAAGCTAAAAGTTCTTTATTCGGAGAATTCCCAATGATCAATTTTGATTTTGGTTCTTCAATAGAGAATAGGTTCTATGACAACTCCCCCCTCCCCCCCCCCCCCCAATTTATATATATATATATACACTAAGCTTATTAATACGATTTAATAATGTGTACATATGTCAAAAGGAGGATCCATTTTGATAATCTAGATTTGATTTCCGACTAACATTCAGGCTTAAAAATTAGATGAATTATGGCAGATTAGGTACTAACTTTATGACAGTCCTGACAAAGTGTATAATCAGGGAACATCAAATTGCCTTATTTATTATGTTATCCATGCAATTAATTATTAAGTTTTAAGCATCGAAACAATTGTATAATCTTTTGTTTAATTCTAGAAACTTTTTTCACCATGGTGATGAGTGGAGTGAATAATACTTTGCTCATAAAAATATTATGTCAAAATGCCACTTGCTCCAACCTTCGCCACTTCTTTACCTAATCCTTTGTAGTTTTAATTTTTTTTAATGAGTGTTCTAATGATATGCTTTTCTGGCTTTTTTTCTTATCTTCGCTATTGCTGGGCGAAAGAATCCATCATGGAAGGCAGCATAATTCCAACCCAACCAAACCATCTGACTTTTCTCCCTCTCTTATTGTAAGATTCTGGTGAAGTCCATTTCTTTCAACATTAAAAAAAAAAAAAATTTCTTTACTTACTAGTGAATACAAATGAAAAATGATAAACACTAAACACATCGAGAAACAAAAGGAGCAAAATGACAAGAAGTGTCTGCAATATCTCGTTGGCGTTCAGCACGAAAGGTATCATATCAGACTTTCTAGTTAAGCCTTCCCCACACTATGACTTCCTCTTGGGTTGGAGAAGAACCGTGGAGAAGAGAAACTTAATTGAAACTTTGCTTTTGATCGAGTCACATCTATCGGCCGTGCCTAGGAGTCTTCAAAATTTGTCATTTTGCTTATGATCTGATCCTTTTCGTTTTAGATGAATTGCCCACCGCCACACTAAGACATGTGGGCTCTTTTGTTGTTATTCTTTAAGTCCATAACTCAGCAGACAATCCATCCAGACAGCCCAATTCTGCTGCTCGAGCAAAGGGAACATGTGTCCATTAAATCTGTCATACAGAGCTCTACTGCACAAAGTTGCCTGAAATTGATATTCTCTCCAGCCAGAAACTATGTAACTTTTTGGATTAGTTTGTGCTTACTTCTGACAAGCTAATTACCCGTGTACTTGAGGGTCTTTGTTTTTTTTTTTTGGTTAGTTTAAAACAAAATTTTATTAATACAGGGTCTACATAAATTGATTTCCTAATTTGAGCAGTTCATCCTCAAGTGTCATGGGAGTCGACGAGCTTGTTTACGGCCGTGTCTGGGGCATCTATATTCCTCAGAATTTTTCTTCATAAGCATTAAGGAAACAAAGAAATGCCAAGGATGAAATGGTCAAATCAATAAGTTTCATGCTAGCCCAAGTTCTATATTGGCTTACCAAAAGCAAGGGTTTCTCTGCGGCACTCAAGATGGCTAACTCCACTTTAATGGGAGAGAATGATCTGATGTGTTCATCGGTCCAAATAAACAGCTTAAAGGAGCAGGCTACAAGCCCTACGATACAAACAAAAACACACCAAGACAACTGAAAAGGATACAGCGGTGTAGCTAGATTGTCAATGCCCTTCATTTCCTCATTTAATCTGCAAATGGGCAAAAAACTGCATTACAAAAGGCAAAATCAATATGGAAAAGCATGATCTTGCAATACTTGTTTGGCCCAACACAGATCCCACCATCAAATCTAGGAAGAGAATGTCCTGAACGAGTGTGAACTCTTTATCTGGCACCATACATTGCGACATATATAGTTACCATTGCAGAAAGATACTTATTACCAATGTTTTAGCAGATGACACAATCTGCACAATTTAAACTTCTCTGAACAATCAGAAGATAGAAAATAGTAGCATGTTGCATTGACCAAAAAAAATACATAAGTTGTAAAGAAACAAGGCCCAATAGCATTGCGTAGGTTTAAGTAACAATTCCAATTATATTAAAACTGATTAGATTTATTTGTTAATCACTTCCAGACAAGAGGTAACTTATGTGTCCTGCATGAACATTGATCAACTATTTCTTACTGAAATGGAAATAAAGCCTACTACAAGACCTCTAAATCTCCTTTCTCCTACCACCAGCTACAGCAATCTCTGCAAAGATACTTGCACCAATGGTTTTCTTAATAAATTATTTACATTAATGATAAAGGAGTAATTGGATTATATGCTAGATTGATTGCTTCAATATAATATCAAACAAAGTGCATAAACTAACAGACCACCTGAAACAAATGGAAATTATGTTTGCTTCTAGTTTCATTTAATTTCAGTAGTTTCTCAAGCTCAATGCAACAACATCTAATCAACTAACTGTGTGTTTCACCATTGATAAAGACAAGAAATAACATTATTTTACAGGTTATATTTTGCTTTGTCACATTATATACCCCCCTCACTTTTCTTCCCCCTTCCTTCTAATCTTTCCTTTTTCCCTGGAAAAGAGGGTCAGGGATACTACCTGAGACATGAATTTATATACTGGTTTCCCCTTGTTGCCGCATCAAGTGCTGCAAATCCAAATAACAAGAATAAGTTCACAGTTTATATCAGAATCAGACAATCAATAACATAATGCAGTATTTCTGGAATAGCTCCATCAGACTACAGATGATCAATATGCTCAAATTAACAGCAAAATATATATTAAGTGACAGAGAGAGAAGTCATCACCACACTTCAACTATATTTTAGCACAAATGAAAAATTATCCAAGTTATTAGCACAAATTTGAAAGCTACACCCAACGAAGCCTAGTCAGCTTAATTTAGGGTAAGAAAACAATAAGCTCTAGGGTTGACTAGTTGTTACAACGCTGGTGTTATGCTATGTTAATGATATAGAAAATAGAAAAAGTTCCCACACTTGCTTGGGTTTAAGACAAAAACCCATGGATGTCTATCATATTTTACAACAATGCTGAGTTAAAATAAGCATAATGCTAGAGAACAAATCTGTCCCTTATCTTATTGATAATTGAATGAAGGAAGCGTTATGTTTAACATTTGATCTACCAGATTCTTGAATGCGCCCAGCTGCATCAGCAAAGCAACGCATATGATCAACTGGGCTGCTAGTAACCTACAATTGAAGTAATTTGCATATCATGTACATATCAAAATTCACATTTTCACCACATGTAAATAATCAATGAGTTCAAATTAGAAAAATTAAGAAAATTAACATCAACATAGCTCTAATTCATTGCTATTATTTGCTAATACTCAAATCAAGTTATAACATCAGTTTCTTTATAGACTGTAATGCATACTTTCAAAATTCAAAAACCTAAAAATAAAATGAAAAGAAAAGAAAATAAATACCACCGTGATTGCTCAAAATCATAATAGCCTAAAATTTCCAGAATTTTAACAACAAAATATCAAAATCTTTAGGAAAATTGCATATATTCCCGTAAATTGACAACAATTTTCTCGAGAACTTTACAGAAAGTGCCATAATTTTTTTAAAAAATAAATAATTAAATAACTAAATAAAGGCGAAATCAGACCTCAGAGAAAGCTAAACGAAGCGAAGCAAAGAGGGAAGAGAAGCTGTCGGCGATAGCCAGAGAGTCTTTCTCAACTACCTCCATTGCTTTCAAGATGTCGCTTTTGTTCAATGGCGAATTCGATTCGCTGCCGTCAAGTCCACAGGCTTCCGATTCAGTCTCTTGACACGTGGAAGTTTGATCCATGCCCCGTTCCCTGATGGTAACTTCCTGTTCCATAGATTCATCTCTCTGATCTCCTTCTGCAACTGATGATGATTCTTCCATTTTCCCGCGAATTCTTTGTTTTCTCAACCGTGCTTTTTAGTTTTTAGACGAGTTTTCGCTTTTATAGGGGTTTCTCTTTTCCTCTTTTTATTCTTCTCCTTTTCTTTTTGAAATTTTTCTTCGCTGCTTTTAGTTATGATTTACAGTTTCACATTGACCTAATGCCGTTTAGAAAATAATAAAAAAAAATTCCATATAAGTATAAGTTTTAACTGTCAATAATAAATCTTTAAAAGTAAAAATAAATATACCAATGTGTTTTCTATAAAAAAAATCATATAAAATACAAATATTTTTTTATCTTAGAAGGGAGGCCAAAGCCCAGGTAGTAGAAAATATACATAAGTTGAGACTCGTGCCCAATCTTATAAGAAAATTTCACCTCGAATCCAACGTGATAGCATGGTAAATTTTTTTTATATAAATAATTTTTTATATCTTATATTAACTGTGGATTTATTTTCCAGTATTTGACTAGATTATTACACATTTACAATTATTTAAAAACCTCAATATTAATGGATGTGATAAGTACTCTTATATATATAATACTATATATTACTAAATTTTATTGGTATAATAGCATTCGTTTATCATAAAATAACCAAAGTTGGACAAACTTGTAAGAGAGTATACGAGTTAATTAGAGCAAAACCAATTCCAATTAGAAATAGCATAGACTAATCCCAAATGGAAAAGGTAAAATCGTCTCCTCCCAATATATATAAATTATGCTTTCTATCATCCGTTGAGATTCACAATTGTAAACTTGAATTCGGTATTTTCTTTCCATTATTCATAGTTTCTTAACTTCGTAGTTTTTTTTTTTTTTCAAGATGGAATACGGTGCATGCCGTGGTCAACTTGGTGCAAGACTGATGATATATGAGTCACCGGAGACGCCGAAGTTCTTCATAAATCTGGGGTCTCTTCCATTTGTTTTTGACGACGGCGACGACGATGAGGATCCCCATTACAAAGCTTTGGGCGATGGAGAAAAAGGCTATGCTTCGAGGCGGCAACTTGGAGAAAAAAATACTAGTAACCAAGGTGTGGATAAGGTGAAAACTGGTCAACAACCCTGCGGTTCACCTAGTTTCTTTGCAAGAGTTTTTCGTCGGACGAAGGATGCCATGCTCGCCTGTTTATGTTTAACGTAAATAAGTTAGCTACCAGTTGCCTCATTGATTGGATTTTATTGCCAGAACTGTTTCTAATGTTGTTTTTTTTTTCTAAGATTGTTTCGGGGCTTGTTTCTTTTCCCTTTTTTTTTATTTAGCACATCAAGTAGTTTTTCAAACATAATTAAGTGCAAGTGTTCCAATGTTAAATTATCCAATTCAAGTTTCGTTGTTTGAGTTAGGATGCCTCAAATTTGCAATTCTCAAACTAGAATAAAAACCATTAACTATGTAATTAAATTTCTCAAGATTTAGAATTAATTCGAACTTTGGTTTGATTACGCATATATTTAAAATCCCACAACCACTTTGTTATTAATATATAACAAATATATTTCTTCATTGAGCTAGTTATTAATATAATAATATATATCTTCATTGAATTTTTTTTAGTGGTTAAAATTGTAAAACTTTTAAAATTTAAAATTAAAATTTGTGAAAATATGAAACTTATGGAATGTGAATAAAAATTAACTTATTTCTAAATCCGAGCCTCGCCAAAATTAGAAGTTTGAACTGATAGTTCAACCTTTTAAATATCTCCAATTAAGTATATTTGGGCAAATTGACGCCGCAACCAATGATTTTTTTAGTTTGAACTATCAAAAAGTAATTAATTTAATATTAAAATTTAAATTTTTTATAAAATTAAAAATTTTATAATTTTAATATAAAAAAGTAAGAAAATATAATTTTAATATATAAAAGTAATAATTTTAAATTTAAATTAAAAAAAAAACGAAGACAGAGGAGATTTTCCAGCTCTTTTATGGTCTCTCTTTTTCAAAAATATTTTCTCGTCAAAACCATGTCTGATAAAATGCCCATTGCTCCGACAAATTAACGATTCAAATATAACGATAAGAGACGACCGAGGATATTTCGTCTTTTCTCTCGCTTTTAATTCATTGGGACAAAAAGATAACCTTGTTAATATTCACATCCCACTTCGAGCTTTACGCTGAAGCGGGAGACGACGAACCTGAAGAAGAGCATAATCATTCAGATGATAATATCGTGGAAGACGATACTAGTGATTTCGATGAGTATATTTTGGGATGATATCGACGTACCCAGAGATGCGGCAGACGAGTAAAGCAGCCATTGAAGGATTAGAGAAGGTGAAGATTGATAAAAGGGTTAGGCAAAGTAGGGACGTTGCGCTGTTAGGTGTGCTTGGAACAGTTGTTGGAGACGGAACCTATACGTTTGCCTTGCTCCCACATTATCATGCCGACTGCATTATAAAGTGGTTGAAGAATAGTAACATGTGCCCATTGGGTCGCCGAAAGTTGCCTGTTGTTGATTTTGATCTGAATTTAAAGATGCCTGAGGTTGATTTTGATCTCAATCTCTACTTAGAACTGGATTTTTTTGTATCTAGTCCATAATAATTTATTAATTAACCAAATTTTAATAATAAGGAAAAAATTTTATTAATTCTCAATCATATGTTCCATATTTCTGTATGTTTTAAGAAAATTAAAGCATGTATATTTTAAAAACCAATAAATTAATATATAATAAATAAAAAAAATGTAATAACATTTTGCTTTACCAATAGAGTTTAAAAAATTTATTGTCAATATATGAAATAATAATCTATATATATAAAATTTTCTGTAGAAATAAAATTACATTTTAGGTGGCAAAACAATTTTATGTTTAACGGCAGTCCTCACTATGAAAAGACTTGAAGTATTGTCAATCCAATTTGATGTAATTAGAGAAATTTGTACCAAAGGAAAAATCCGAAAGGTGCAATGACATCAAACTATGTTCTCAGGATAAATAATTATATAAAATAATTAAGTTATATTAATATATATTTTTTATAAAAAATCATATCACATAATTTCATTATTAAAAAAATAATAATTTGTTACATGTCACATATGATAATTAAATAATAAATATTTATTTAATAATATCTATAATATAATTTAAATAAAAATGATATATACATTTTGCATAACCTTTCCTCATATTTTTCGTTGAAAGGTACGGTAACCGGTGAAAACAAGGTAATGGTGGGCCCAATGGGCGGTTGGTTGGACATGGACAACGCGGCCTTTTTTTCTGACTTATATTAATTTGTTCTTATTACTACTTATTAATAAGGTTTGTTCTACCAACTTTTTACCATTTCGTTAACATCACATGTGGGTGACAAAATATTTTTATATTGTGTAAATATGATTTTAAATTATAATTTTTTTTGGCAATGGCCAATGGGTTATGTGAATGCAAATTCACAATGTTATTGTTTGGTTTCATTGTACAAAATTAAAGGCATGTCACAATATTTTTAATTAAAATTATAAAAATTTAAATCTTATTTATTAAATTTAAAAATATAATATTTTATTAACAATCATATAAATTTTGGATATTACGATATTTTGTTAGATGCATATTATTTTTTATAAAATATAAAATATAAAAAATGAATTTTATTTAACTTACCTAGTATCATATATATAAAAGATAATTTATTCAATTTTTATAATAAATAATCAATAAATTTATTATTTTCATTTAATTTGTAAGGTCCATTAAACATACTTGAAAATTTAATATTAGAAACTAAAAATCAAATTATATTTGAAATATTACGAAAAAAAAAATCCAAAAAATTTCCGACTAGTTCCAAGTTTCCAACTTCCAATTATCCTGGCAGTACCAGTGACGTCGAATTAAAGTGATCTGTCAAGGAAGATTCCACGACGCCGTTTTATTTTCTAAAAATAAAACGACACGAAGGCGGGAAATTTACTCTAAAGTCTCCGGGCCGAATCCAAAATATAAGAAAAAAACAAATTAGTTTATATTTTTTGAAAAAATATAAACAAAACCTAAAGTACCAAAGAGAAAAATTGAAAACTAATACCAAACGCCTTCGCACGCTCATTTCACTCGCTTTCCACTTTCCATTTTCCAACGCAACAAACAACATTTCCTTCTCATTCTTTTCTTTTTCTTTTTCATTGCGGAGAACAAAAGGAAAAAAATAGCTCGTGCGGTTCGAGATTTTGAAATCGCTCGATTTGTAGAACGGATCTGCTTTTTTTTTTTTTTAATTCTCTGTTTGGTTTCTAATCTTTACTCTTTATTTCATCGGAAAAACTTGAATATCCTTTTTTTTTTTTTCTGAATTATGAAATGTGTAGGCTTAGCTTCGAGATCTTGATCTAGTCTCCTGTTAGATTCCTCAGGTTCGTGCTTTTACCCTACATTTTGTTCGTACATGTTTTTTTCTGTCTAATTTAACGTTTTGTTTGGATCTGAATGGATTTCAATTATTTTCACTTAAGTGTTTCTCAGCCTTTTAAAAAATTTTTGGTCGGCACTGCCTTTTTAAATTTATTAGTTAAGAAATTATGCTGAGAATCGATAATGCAACATGATGTTTCGAAATTATGATTGTTTGGTTGCTGAGAAAACGATGAAGAGTGTAACCTGAGTTTCTCGTTTTTTTTTTTTTTTCGAGTTTTATTGTTTGCTCGAGAATTGAACTCTCTTAGTTGCCGACTTTCTGCTTAGCAGAGTGATTTTATGAAGTTTACTTTATTTAGATGAATTGTAAAATAAGAAAAGAATCTTTGTTCTTTTTTCTATTTTTATTTTTTCACTCTTCTATTTGCCTTCACTTTCCCTTACAAAACAAAGGCTTGACATTCAAAATGAGTAATGCTTTTTCTTTCTGTTAGTTTCGCTCTTAATGCGAGCTAAATTTGTTGAAAATTCGATTTTCATGAAGTTCGAAACTAGTGGCACAAAATTTGTGCCCTTACTTTATGCATTTAGCTGTGAATAGATTAGAAATGCAGTATATGTTAACTTTTTCACTAATATAAATGTTATTGTTCCCCTTGTAGGACTGAGTCCTATGATATCAGAACGATAGATTTCAAAGAAATCAGCTTGAACATTCAGCAAATAAGGCAGATGAGGGAAAACGGTACAGCCAATGGCTTGAATGCAACTCATGATGTAGAAATTGAAGAAAGGGAAAGTTTTGAAGGCCTGATTAGTGGTATGAAATAACAAATAGCTCTTTCAACATTTTACTCATCTTCCTTTATTAAACATTTAAACTTTGAGCCTTCATTTTGCTAGGTGACTGTCTGTCTTCTTTGGTGGAGTGGTTAAATGCCATAGTTCCTGATTTAAGGTTGCCATTGGATGTAACAGAAGAGGAGCTGAGAGGATGTTTGATTGATGGAACTGTTTTTTGTACCATTTTGAACAAGCTGCATCCTGGTTCTGTTGAAATGGTCTGATTGCTCTTTTGTTTACACGTTTTTTGATGTATTAATTTGTCTTCAATTTAATTCACATTTCTCTTTACTCTTAATTGCACATTTTTGCATCTTGTTCTGGACATTGTACTTCACTGTTTGAGCATGTTTCTTCTCCAACTTCAGGATGTTGGTTCCGAATGCGGTCCTGTTAATTTCAAGAGGTTTCTGATTGCTATGGATGAAATGGGGTTGCCCAGCTTTGAATTATTCGACATAGAACAGGTATCAATTGAATTGAATGTAGTTTTTATGTAAACAGTTTTCTATTTCAGTGTGCTATACATGTAAGGTTGGTTAAAACTGAAAAGGTTTTTCCTCCTCATTGAGCTTGAAACTGAAAATATTTTGCCTACATATTGATCTTGGCTTGTGCATGGTTAGGAGTATGCAAAGGTTGGGTCAGTTCTCGGTGGACTGTGGTACTATTCTGTTTTATATATTCTTAGTAAAAGTGAACTGTGGTACTATTCTGTTTGGTTATACGTCAATCTCAGTGAAAGTTATAAGTGTGTTGACATGTACCTTCCTATTTCAAACCTTTTGATCTCAATGTTGGAATGATTATTGATTGGAGTGGATTTTTTTTTTTATATATTTTAGTTGGATCTGATCATTTTATCCTAGAACTAAACCTCTATCTAGTTTAAGGTGTATGATGAACGAACTATTCTAGTTGGCTGGGTTTGGTTATGAACATATTCAAAGTCCAAGTTAGAGAGTCTATTGGTATTTTTACTTTTCTTTCAACCTCTTGTTTAATAATTTGGGATATCCGCAGGGCCATATGATGCCAGTTTTACATTGCCTCAAGACACTTAGGACATGTTTCAATTCTAACGCTGAGGCCAATAGCACCCAAAATCCTTCTAGGAAGAGATGGAATCTTTCTGGTGAAAGTGAAAGCATCCAATTGAAGCAAGGATGTTATGCTGATCTTTCTGATGCAACAATTTTGGAATTAATGAAATCAAGCTGTTTAGATGTAAGACTTTGAGCTGCTTCCATGCATGTGCCTGTATCTATTATGAACCACATTATGTGATTGGATTTTAGATAGCAACTCCAGTTTAATGCATTCTCCTGCATCTTATTTTGTGCAGAATGCCTCGACTCAATCATTATTCAGTATACTATACAGGATTATCGATGAAAGTATTGAAAGAAGGAATGGAGATGTACCTCATGTATGGCATTCAGAGTACATACATATGCTGTATTTTCTTAGCATGCATAGATATTTTTCTTGTTGTGTCTCGTTTCCAATACTGCTCCTCATGGATCTGCCTTATGGTATTTCTTTCTGGTACCTTTTATTAATTTGTGGTTTTCTATCGTTTTGCCCTTTTGCTCAGCATGGAGCATGTCTGTTGAAAAAGATTGTACAAGAGATAGAATGGCGAGTTTCAACTCAGTCAGAAAACTTAAAAAATGTAAATTGCTTTGGAACTTTTTTTCTCTCTAAGAGAATGTTTTCTCATGTAGTGTGCATGAATAATGGATATTTATATTCTTGAACTCCTGCAGCAAAATAACCTTTGTAGGGCTCGAGAGGAAAAGTATCAATCAAGGGTTAGAGCACTTGAGACCCTAGTAAAGGGAACTGTGGAGGAAAATAAGGTACATCATAAATAGTTTAGGGTATGTGCCTTAGGGTTTTTTTTTTTTTGGCCTTTAGTTGATTCCCCATCTAAATAATTCTGGATCTGTTGTGCTTGCTGTAGGTTGTTATAAACCAACTACTGCATATAAAGGTGTGATTCTTATCCTTCCTCTTTTACTTATAATTTAGTTTCAGAAGAAGAATAAGGGGATGATTTAGTTTTGTATTATTTAGTTTAGGATATTTATATTATGTTTGTTCTAATCATCTAAATTAAATCTGATTTTGGGCTTTTGGAACTCTAGAACTAGAATTTAGATAATAGTGAACTTGATCTAATCCGTCTTGTGTGGTGAAATTAAACTAAGATTGATATGGCCAATCAATCCGACTAAATTTCTTTTTCCCCATTGACAGTCTTAATACCATGCCACTTTGTGGTGCTTGGCAACGAATAGCTGCTTTTTTTGACCAAAAGTCTTATTTTGTCCCTCAACAGTCTTATATGATTGCTTTGTATGTTTCTTGAGAGTTTCAGATTGAAAAGAGCAAACTGGAGGAGAAGGCTAAAGTTGAAGAGCAGGATGTGCTTCAGCTTAAGAAGGAGAAGATTCAGAATGACATTGAGATGTCTAGAATAAGGGAGGAACTAGAAAGCAGCAAACAGATGCATGAAAGACATTGCCTACAATTGGAAGCCCAGGCTGAGAATACAAAAGTGGTGTTAGAAGAGAAGTTAAAAGAACTTGAGAGTATTTTAAGTGATTCTAGTAAAAAAGTGGATGAGCTTCAGTCATTTTCTGAATCTAAACAAAAGAGATGGAAAAATAAGGAGCGCAGTTATCAAAGCTTCATTGATCAACAATATAGGGCTTTAAAGGTTTGTTGTGTTTGCCGTGTTACTATGATGTGATATGAGGCATGGTCCTGTAATTGAAGTTTTACAACTGTTTAGGAATTGAGGAAAGCATCTAAGTCCATCAAACATGAAGCCCTAAAGACAAGAAAGAGCTATTCAGAGGAACTTAATTACTTAGGTAGTGTTTCTTATTCTTGCTATTTGTTTTGTGGCTTGTCTGCCATCTAGATTTCATTTTCTTATGTGTTGGGTTTTGAGAAATTTCTCTTGGTGTATACCCTTTTTTCTCGAGTAGGAATAAAGCTTAAAGGACTAGTAGATGCTGCAGAAAATTATCATTCTGTTCTTGCTGAAAACCGAAGATTGTACAATGAGGTTCAGGATTTGAAAGGTATATTATATAATCTTTGTTTGTTTGCGTTTCGCTGGCAAGCAGCTGATTCTATTTCTTATTTTGTGTAGGAAATATTAGAGTCTATTGTAGGATAAGGCCATTCCTTCCGGGGCAGAGTAAGAAACAAACAGCAATAGAATATATTGGTGAGAATGGTGAATTGGTTGTTTCGAATCCCGCAAAGAAAGGAAAGGACACTCATAGGCTCTTCAAGTTTAACAAGGTTTTCAGTCCAGCAGCTACCCAAGGTTTTAAATTTTTGTAACTTAATTCATTGTTGATAATCAAATTCGTTTCTTAATTTAATTACTATATAGTTTTAGCCATGATATTAGTGACCGCTGCTTATATGTGTACATTTTTTCAATATGATATGTCCGCAGAGGAGGTATTTTTAGACACCCAACCATTGATTCGATCTGTTCTTGATGGGTACAATGTTTGCATATTTGCTTATGGTCAAACTGGCTCGGGAAAAACTTATACAATGGTGAGCTACTTATAAATATTTATCCATTTGAAATATGTAGGTTATATCTTATGCATTTTATTTTCTCTTTTCAGAGTGGACCCAATGGGTCTTCTAAAGAAGATTGGGGAGTCAATTTTAGAGCACTGAATGATCTTTTCCAAATCTCTCAAAACAGGAAAAGCTCCATTATATATGAAGTTGGTGTCCAAATGGTCGAGATATATAATGAACAAGTTCGTGATCTGCTTGTTGGTGACAGTTGTCAGAGAAGATATCCTTAATTTTTTGGATTTCATTTCTTGTGTTTCTAAGTTCTGTTCTAAAATTTGGCTCTATAACTCATCTTTGACTGTTATTGTTTCTTACTCATGGTTGATCTTTATGTTACCCTACTGATTTTTAAATTCACAATCCTCCTTTCTTAATTTATTATATTTTATTCCTTTTCACTTTCTTTGTGCTGTTAAATATGGTCTTTGTTTCCTTTGACTTGCACACACTTGGGATTTGGAGCACCACCCAACCAAATGGGTTAGCTGTCCCTGAAGCAAGCATGCATTCTGTAAAATCAACCACAGATGTCCTGGAATTGATGAATATTGGGTTAATGAATAGGGCTGTAGGTGCTACAGCCCTAAATGAGAGGAGTAGCAGATCACATAGGTTATAATTTCACTTACTACTTTGTATATAACTTGTTATTTGGAGTTCTGTGCCTAAAAGGTTTCGGTAAATTATTATTTGCAGTGTTCTCACGGTTCATGTTCGTGGCATGGACATAAAAACTAATGCTGTTTTGCGTGGTAGTTTACATTTGGTGGATCTTGCTGGCAGTGAACGGGTAGATCGTTCTGAAGCAACTGGAGATAGGCTTAGGGAGGCGCAACATATAAACAAATCTCTGTCAGCACTTGGAGATGTAATCTTTGCTCTGGCACAAAAAAATGCTCATGTCCCTTACAGAAATAGCAAACTGACTCAAGTTCTCCAGAGTTCTTTGGGTACTTTTCAGTTTTCAGATTTTAATTTCGCTATTGTGATTTCAGGTGTCATTATGCACAATAATATTCTCATATATTAAATGGTTTTTATTTTCTCATTGAAAAATTGCCCTTTTTCTTTTAATATCAAATTGTAGGTGGTCAGGCAAAAACCCTTATGTTTGTGCAGCTTAATCCTGATGTAGAGTCATACTCTGAAACCATAAGTACCTTGAAGTTTGCTGAGAGGGTTTCTGGTGTTGAGTTAGGTGCTGCACTGACTAACAGAGAAGGGAGAGATATCAGAGAACTTATGGAACAGGTATCCTTCATTTCTCTTCCTCTTCTCATTTTCCCCTTGGGAAAAGTTAATTTAGCATAGGTTTTGAACCTGAGCAGCATTTGTCAGTAGGTTATCCTATTTCTATGGCAATGGACAAACCACAAAGTTACAGTCCAATGTTGGACCATGAAATCTCACTTTCACGAATGACCCTATCAATTGGCATCCTTGCAGCAGCATAATCTAGTTTGCATTTCTAGCTTTCGTCAGCCTTGATTTTTGCCAAACATAAGCATGAACCTGCCTGTTTACAAAGATTTGATTCTCTTTTAATTTGAGGATATACTTCATGGTTTCTCTTCCTAAGCCCTAGATAAGATATAGTAGCTTTGGTTAGGAGGAAATATTGCTTTTGCTGTAGCTCGGTTCTTGCCAGAATTGTATCTTTCTTGAAGAAGATTTTAACCTTTTTGGACCATTTAATCTTGTCATTTAATTTCTGAGCTTCTATTGATCTTGCAGGTTGCATTCCTCAAAGAAACCATCACAAAGAAAGATCAGGAGATTGAGCATTTGCAGTTACTTAAGGGTAATGGCAATGCTATTAAGCATGGTATGAGCTCAATGAGGTATGGATCTTTCTCTCCTGGGGGACAGTCCAGTGGGACTCCTCGACAAAGCCAGAGCCTCGCAAGACGGCAAAGCTTGGGAAATTTTGAGAAAGCAGCTTTTGATGTGGACAATTGCTCAGTTAACAGCGATAAGCATTCTGAAGCTGGCTCTCAGCAGTCGATGGATGACTTAAAATGTCACAATGAATCTTCTGTGCAGACAAATCTTGCAGGAAGAGATTTTGGTCAGAATATTACTGACGATATTGAACTCTTGAGCTTTGGAGATGCAGATGCAGAGGAGAGATTAAGTGATATATCTGATGGTGATCTATCAATGGGTGATACAGAAACAGATGGCTCAATCTGTAGTGCTGTAGAGTTCACTCTTTTCCCGGAAGTTTCAAAACCTTCTGATAAACCAGAGGAGGATGAGAAAGCAGACAAAGCTGAAAAATCTGATAATAATGGAAGGTGAGTATCCTTCAACTCCTTCAGCATCTTCTATAGGATCTTGTTTCTGGATTGAGTAGTAGGAACAAGTTTCTAATCAACCATTTTGTTGAACCAGAAACTAAAATTACTTTCTAATAGTTGCTATAAGGACATAAAAATTAAACGCTGCTAGCAGTATTAATAACAACAAGAATCATTGCAATATCAGATAACTCGCTTAATTATCCTTTTCCTCTCCCCCTTGCTCTCTAAATTCGTGATTATATAGTTATATTACTTAAGTATGTGTGCAAGTATTTTGAATAACACGAATTGCTTGGGCTTGAAGACTCCGTCAATGAAACAGGACAGTGAGAATTTCTTTTGATTTTTCTGATTGGTTCATTTGTTGCTTGAAAATAGGTCCATTGTCCCATCTAAGCTTCCAAAGCTGCCTCAAAAGGTGGTGCAAACAAAACCTACTCGTTTGTCAATGTTCACGAGTTCCTCAAAGGTTTCATCAAGTACGTAATTTTATACACTATTCTATATTTATTAGTCTTTTTTCAGGCTAAACTAGCTGAGTAGCACTACTGCTACAGCTTATTTTTTGCTGATTTGTCGAAATTTTCTTACCTGAATACCATCATGTCTGACTGAACCCTTCTCAGTTTCTTAAATGTTATTTCTTGTCCTCACTATTTCATTTTCTTCTTGGAATGTATATCAGGTGCTAGGAAAATTACTGCTGCCACCACTGGCAGTTCTTCAACTATGCCCCCTAAACGACGGCAATGATTTGAATTTGTATCTTAGATAGTAGAAGAAATCTGACTCAGCCTAGTTTGTAATTATATTTACAACTTTGCTATGTTTATTGCCTGTAGGTTGTTCCTGGCTTCCATTACCTCATTGGAAGGGGTAATTTTAGAGAACTGTTCACTTGAAAGTTGAAACTTACAAGCTTGAGGGACATCAGTCCCTTCACTCAGGTTCTCATCATATTGCCCGTCTATATATAAACTAGAAAGTGATTTAGCTATTTGTTTCACGTTTAGAAAAAAATAAAAGTGGTGGAATGATCTTGCTTTTGAACTTTTCAATTTAATTTTAAAAATTGAAAATTTTGCAAGAATTATCCATGCATAACGTAACGTGTTAATCGAACACATTACGTTTATGCACTTATTTAAATAGTTTGCGTTAAGTGTGAGACGTCATCGCTGTCTGGGTGGTGTAGTTGGTTATCACGCTAGTCTCACACACTAGAGGTCCCCGGTTCGAACCCGGGCTCAGACAATTGGATTTTTAATTTTAAGGTCTGCTGAACGTGGGGTGGGGCATCCACTTGCCCAGAAACACACTAAAAGCCGAAGTTCACTTAACAACCATGGGAGAGAAACGGAAAAAAATCTAGATTTCAAAACGATTCCGAATCCGCTGTTGGAATGCTTGAAAATTTTCAAAATTAACTTGGATATCTTTTTTCTTTTACATCGATCCAATCTATTTATTATGCCAATATGAAGACTACATTCAAAATGGCTGTTTTTATCACTCTTTTTCTTTTTTTATTTAAGATTGTTAATGATCGAATTTTAATTATTAAAATTAAAGGTAATAATCATATTCAAAATGGCTGTTTTTATGGTACATGCTTTTGCTGCTTATACCTTTTAATGTCATAGTATTTGTATGGACCTTGTTTAGTTTAACATTCTAAAAAAACAAAAACTTGAAATTTTAAGTAAAAAAAATTAATGTCATAAATAGCCTTAAATTATAATAAAATATTTAATATAATGTTTAAATTTTAAAATTTTTAATATAATTAAATTATAAATTTATTAATTAATATAATATTTACTTTTAACTTAATTAATTTTAAATGATTTAAAATTTTTAATACAATTGAATTATAAATTTATTAATTAATGTAGTATTTATTTTTAACGTAATTAATTTTAAATGATGATATATAATAAATAAATAAATTTTTAAATATTATTTTAATTAATAGATTTATAATTTTGATAATACATTAAAATTTTTTAAAATTAAGAGAATATATTAAATATTTCATTATAATTTAAATTTTATTAATAATATTAACCCTAAAAAGATAAATCTAATTTTTTAAACATATGCTCATGTGTCATAGCATGCTTATAAAATTAATATGATAAAAAAAATCCCCAGATAATTTGAATCTTCTTTTTAGAATTTAAGTGTATCAAATAATAATTTTTGTGTTAATACCATAAATAATATTTTTAGACATATATCGGGAAGAATAGGATAAATTCAACAATAACTTGGATTATCAATGTTCAATGATAAACGTTACTATTTATTATATTAATACAGTACATTTAGGGTTCTTTTCTAACGTTTTTTTTTTTTTGCCAATAAAAAATATATGCATGTGGTTAAATCCATGTGCTCGTTCGCACTGGAAAATTCCCAACAATTTCCACTGTGGGCCGATCATATGGTGGGGAACAAATATTAATTGAATTTATTTCCCGTACAAACAAACAAAATAATTGGCTAAGACCCGCCTTAGGCTTAAACCCTAATTCTCTCAGTAAACAAACATTTCCTTTCAGTTATCTCGAGAAAATGATTCACGGCGTTCAAAAATCTCTCCTTCTCTCTTGTGACCAACCACATTCGTTGAGGTCTAACCCTCTGCGGGCTTTGCATTCTTTTTGTTTACCGTTCTAGAGGTTCAAATTTTATTTTATTTTTTAAAATTTTCTTATTATTTCAGGGATGTTGTATTGTTAATCAGCTTGTTCAGTAATTTGGTATCGAATCGCGTTTTTTACTCAATTTACCTGAAATAAAAAATGGCGACCAATTATCTGGTAAGTTTGTTTTTAATTTACTTTCGTTTTTAATTCTTGAATTTTAATGTACTGTTTTCTCTGAGTATTTTTTGAGTGAAATTCTTTTAATAAATTTACATTTTTCCCGTTGTTTAGATTTTTGTTCAAAGACAAACTTTTATTTTAAAAATCTATTAAACTGTTTAACTGAATAGGCAGGATTATAGTTCATTAGCAGTTGACATTAGTCTGTTGGCTGTAAATGTTTGTATTTGATTGTTCCTTCTACTTTCTTGTTGGTTGTTTGGTTATATATTTGTCTGAATTTAACAAGGTTTCTATGTCTGTTAGTTTATGTTTAGTTTATGTTCAATGATGTGTTTTCTCAATTCCAAGTTGCAGTTACTTTATGTGTGATACTGTTGAGATCTGCTTTTAGAGGAATTCTTGTAAGATTTTCAAAAAATGTCTGCCTCTAAAAAGCCATATAGAAGTCATCAACCTTCAATCAAATACAGGTGTAGCCCAGCTGAGGGGGCTTTCTTTGAGGTTGGTGAGCTTGTTCCTGAAGCATGTGCCCCTTCTCTCCCTGATAAAAATAAGAAAAGCAGAATAAAGTCTGAAGCAAAGCGACCTCAAATACTGAGCACTGCTGAGCTAATCACGTCTATAAACCAGATATGGAACTGTGCGAGCCGTCTTGCTATTCCTCGACAACAGGCAAATCTGGAAAGAAACCATTGTGTCTCTCAAAAAGAGGATACATTGGTCAATCAGGGGATGGAAGAAAACGGCATGGGATCTATTTCAGCTGATAGTAATTACTTTTACATTGATTTGAAGACAGCTGGCCAACTGTCACCTCTTATGAAGCCAAATTTTGATTTTATCAAAATTACGAAGAAGATGTCCATGTTTGGTTCATCTAATGGAAATCGTAACCTTTCATTTTACCAGGGGCTTTTGTGCTGTGGTACTGACTTGTCTAATGAAACTTGGAAAGAAAAGGGCCTTGCGGCTGTTGGATTTTCATATGAATTTGGAAATATATACAAATGGATGGGAGAGATGATTCCTGCAGGACTTCAGTCTTTTGTCAATGTCCCTGAGGCTGAGAATAAGAAAATTGGTAAAAATTGCATTGCTGCAAGTAGTGAGGTAGGAAACTGCATTTCAACTGATAGAACTAGTCTGACAGATAACTTGCCTGTTGAAAATGCTGAACCGTATTCTCATTGTATCAAATCTAAAGATTCATCCTTATCTCATGATGCCAAATTAGTTTTGAATACAAGAGGAACTACCTCTCTGTGCTCAGATTATTTCCTAACTGCTGTTCAAGAAACCAAGGCGGATTGTAGTGTTTCGAGGATACCGGATTCTAATCTCTGCGCAGATTATCATATCAACTTTTTAGCTTCATGTAGTAGTACATACAAAGAGCAGCAACATCTTAGTGATTGTAGTGAGTACCTTGAAAATGAACAAAAACAACCTGAACTTTTTTCCACAGAGGATGACTGTAGAATGGAAAGTCATTCAACAGCAAGCGAAAATCCTCAATATGCTCTTGCTAAGCAAGAGCATGCTTTTGCAGGGGCTTTTGCTGGAATATTTGTTAGCCTTTGCCTACATCCAGTTGATACAGTTAAGACGGTCATTCAATCTTGTCATGCAGAGCAGAAGTCAATCTATTATATTGGAAGATCAGTAATTGCTGAAAGAGGTAAATCCTTTCTGTAGAGCAGAGGTGAGTCAGGTGACTGAGACTGACTGCTCTTTTTTTGTGAATTATACTTGCGCTGTTTGCTTTCTGCATATTAATTATATGATATTTACAGGTTTAACTGGATTATATCGTGGTATTGCTAGCAATATTGCATCTTCAGCTCCAATATCTGCCCTTTATACTTTCTCATATGAATCAGTCAAAGGGGCTTTGCTTCCTCTTTTCCCTAAGGTAGCTTGCATCTTTCAATGTGATGTGGTGTGGATTACACGAACTAACACACACTGAGTTGCAACTGTTTATATTTCTCTGTGCCTGCATCTTATAGCTAGTTTTTTTATAATTTGGAAAATAGGGGGAAGAAATAACGGAAGAGTTAAGCAAGTTGGATTGCCTTCAAGATTTAGTATCTGCCTGTGCTGTAGTAACTCACTAACTCCTTAAGTGTGACTGTGACACTAGCTCACCCTTTTTTCTTCTTTCTTGCAGGAGTATCATTCTTTAGCTCATTGCATGGCTGGTGGTTGTGCAAGCATTGCTACTTCTTTTATTTTTACCCCTAGTGAACGTATAAAGCAGCAGATGCAAGTTAGTGTGCACTACCAAAACTGCTGGTATATCTCCAAGTTCCTGGTACTACCTTTGTCAATATCAGAAGATTAATTTGTTTAACTTGTTTATGTTTGTTTTCTCCTCAATTATATTTGCATTAGGCAAGTTCTTGTCATTCTTTGTGATTGCTATCAAATTTTCTTCTGGTGTGTTCTTTTTTTGGCCAATCTTATGGTGTGGTTCAATATTTGTCTCTCCATGATACTTAAAATCTGTGTCTGCAGGAATGCCTTGGTTGGAATTATAAAAAAGGGGGGTTTGCCTTCACTATACACTGGGTGGGGGGCTGTACTATGCAGGAATGTTCCCCACTCAATTATCAAGGTTAGGTGTTTTTACATTCTTAGTTTAATTGTGTTCTATGCCATGTAACCATCACAGCAGAGGCTAAAGAAATGGCTCTCCCAATTAGTGGGATGTTCAAAGTTCCAAGACAGTGAAAAGGACCTTGCTTAACAAGTTAACATAACATAACAAAGATATAACACCATAAAGTATGATTTTGTTTGCAATTCCTCCCCAACCCCACCCCTCCTACCTCTCTTCTATTTACTATCCTGTAATTCCTTTAATGTGTAATTTCTGAGGCCACCATTGCCTATACGTGCAGTTCTACACATATGAAAGCTTGAAGCAATTCATGTTGACATCACTGCAGTCCTCTGCTCAACTGAACACATTACAGACAGTTTGTCTTCTGCATCCTTTTTTCAAGATAACCTTGATATTTTGGTTTCAGCTTTCTGGAATTGCACTTAATTAGAAGGTGATGATATGATCTTCTTGTATTGCAGCTAGTTTGTGGTGCGCTAGCTGGTTCAACTGCTGCTTTATTCACTACTCCCTTTGATGTGGTGAAGACAAGATTACAGACACAGGTCTACCATCTCTATGTATTATTACATTATAGCCGCTGCATTTGTTTCTCTGCAAAACTTGGCCAAATACTCTAAAGTGCAGGCTTAAAGGCTGTCTGTTCCATTTTTACTGTACAGTTCTATGGATGCAAGAATATCTACTTAGGTCTCAATTTTTGCTCAAGAACACTATTAATATTTGACTTAAATTTGAAGTGCATAGGTTTTTATATGATGTAATCTTTCTCTTGCCAAAACCTTATAGTGTGCTTAGAAGGAAAAAGTTATGACTTGTGGGTTTTGATCTGTTGGGCAATTTATACACATTAATGTGATTAGATCCTATCAGAATCTTTGCAGCAAGGACATTATATTTGATATTCCTGTTCTTTATGTGTTTGTTTCAGTTTACTGGATTATTTGTGTTTCTTACATGAAGTTTGTCATGCAGATACCTGGATCTTTGAGCCGATACAATAGTGTTTATCATGCCCTTCAAGATATAAGGACTCATGAAGGTTTTAAATGTCTGTATAGGTAACCTCCAAGTCCATACATTTTCACTAATATTAAGTTAATTCAGTTTATAATGAAATTCTATTTAGATATACGTGGCATAAGCTTACACTCATTCAGTCATTTGTTAGTCGAGATTACTTGATAGCTGAGTCTTTAGTTTTAGTTACTCTTTATTCCGTCTAGCTCTTACAAACTGGTGCAACTGCTATTGTTCAATGGCTACACCGATTGCTGGTTGCTGCATGTATAAGGTGCTAATTTTGTTTCTTAAAATGTGGTCAGGGGATTGATTCCTAGGTTGGTTATTTATATGTCTCAAGGAGCACTCTTCTTTGCATCATATGAGTTTTTCAAGCAGTTATTCTCTTTGGAGGTGCCACAGTTAACCACTCACAAACAGAAAAAGGAAAACAAAGATGATTCTCCATCACAATTACCACCAGCATCATCAGCATCAACATCAACTGCAAGACATCATCATCACCATCAAGGTTGCATGGTTGACATTCATAATTGTTAGACAGCACATACATGGACGCATTATTAGCAAGCTGATGATGACACTTAGCATTAAAGCATTTGGAAAACTATTTTTGCTTGTAGATAACTTTTGAGGGAATCAGTAAAATGATGCAAAAGTAATCGGTTTAAAGCAGAGCCTGAAATGTAAACTGACAGTTTGTCATCTTGCCATTTACGTTAAGTTTCTTTTGTGCTAATAGCAATTCTTTTTTATTTTGGGGATTTTTTCCAGTGGTTTTCCGTCACATGTTCTATCTATAATGCTATGATTGCTTGGGAGCTAACCCAGTTTGCAGTTTTCCATCGGTATTAAAAGGAAAGGTCCAAATTTTAAATTTTTGAAAGTGGGTTTTCGTTCATTCAGTAATCAAGGACTTCAAACAAAAATAATTCAGTGTGATGATGTATGCATATATTCTCAACAGAACCTAGGTAGTACTCTTCGGTCATAAATAAACTTCATTCAAACCTTTCAATGAGATTGGATTAGAACATTTTCATTTTAACTGAATCCGTGGAGCTTTGGTGAGTAGGTAGATCTGCTCCGCTGCATTTACAACATGATAATGGATGCAACAGGGACATCAGCAATCAGCAACTTGGGGGCATTTTGGTTTGGTGCTTGAAAATACTGTCACGAGCCATAGTGATTTCAATATGACGAAATCTGCTGACAGATATCTGTATGGCAGAGTCGGTTCTTACTTCTGAGAAGTACAGAACAGGTCAGTGGTCACCACAAAATTTTTACATGTCCTGTGAATTGAACAGTTATCTGGCAGACAAGTCAACAAACAATCTGAAAAACATGCGTGAATATCTCAGAGTTGCAGAATTACTGAATTATTGAAGTGGGAAATAGCTAAAGATAAAAGAAGATCAAGAGGAATTGGTGAGCAAGTTGATGGAAAATGGATAAGTAGGCTTATTATTATCAAGGATACACAACTTTTTGTGAACAATATTCTACCTTCTAAACTACTTTGGTTCCAAACATAGTAAAAGACTAAAAGGGAACTCTCAGGTAAATTTTTTCTATGATTTACTACCCTCATAGCTCCATAGCCTCAATATAATACAAGGAAAGAAGATTTCTATCTCCAAAATGTCTCATTAGCTACATCACTACTTTTCCCTTGCTATCAAGTTACAATATGAACAGTATGTTGTTTCTATTCTAATTATAATTACAGAAGTGAAGAATGAATCAAATATTGCAGTGAAGAAACTCTTACGCAAGTGTAGTAACGCTCGATTTGTGGTGGAAACTTGCATTTCAATCTGTAAACCCATTTGACACAGACATTTCTGGTTTACGAGTAAGATGTCGATCTATGCCATTGAATATAGACATCCCCTACAGAAACCCTCATTTGAAATGGCAGAATGCGTGACTGCCTCTCCATTTTTAGTGCTAACATTCCATACCTTCATCATTTGCTTTCAGCGACAGCCACGCTAAAACACATGTGGAGAGGCCATTTTCAATTCAACTAACCAATTGTTTCAGGTCTAAATGCGAGCAATTGGAGAGAAGGGAGGGTTAATCACATAGGACAGTGGGATTGCTTCCAACTTCTTGCTGACTTCCTTCTTCTCCTCTGTGACTGCTTCTATCAAGAATTTCACTTCCTCCTCAATACACACATTTAGTGAATTGCTTTGTGACAAATATTTGCTTTGTGCCTCCCCAGCAGCAACGGTGGTTTCTGTGCCATGCAATATAGCAACACAAATAGAAAATGCTTGTAACGTGGATAACTTTGCATGGAAATCAACTGCATACCCTCCTTCAATGGCTGTCATGGTCAATGCTGGTGTATTCTCTTTGGCACCCTACATAAGAATTAATATTAAGTTAGTATGGCAGAGCTTAATCAAACCTACAAAATGAACAATAATAAGAATTAGTATCAGCTTCCTATAACCCTGTTAAAAGACTCTTAGACATAGAAGTATACATGCATATTTTATAGTTCATTTAACACTGAGCATGCATGGAAATAGATCCCTATCCAAACCGCAAGCTGCCAAAGGAGAATTTGAAATCAACACATCTAGAGCTCTGATCCCTACTAAATCTCCAAGGTTAAATCGTCTCAACTAGAGGCAACATACTAAACCTTTTCTTTCAAAGATATCATCATGATACTTATCATATAATCTGATGGTATAACTTTCATCCCGCAAACTATTTTTGTGAGAAATTTGCCTTGACATAAAACTAAAACCTTACCTGAAGAAAAAGTTCAAAAGGCTGCTCACTATCCACCAGTGGTTGATCTTCAGAACAATTTATACTAGGATTGCCAAAAACTACAAGGGGACAGGCCATGTCCCAACCACCACAATCACAGCCTCCACCCATCCTCCACCTATCCAGTAGTGATGAAGGTCCCTGGGTCTCAGCACTAGGAAAGCCATGGTTTCCAGTTGGAATAACCACCTTCACCTTTTCTTGGCTCCTTCTATCAGGTAAGTTGCTGTTACTTTCTTCAACCATAGAGACATCGAGTAGGTTTAAATGCCTCTTATCACCTATTTTATCCCCTCTTCTATACTTTAAGCTCTCTCTCTTCTTGAACGGTACTTGAATGACTATGGCTGCAATTTCAAGGTTCAGGTGCAAATCAGCAGGAAGCCGAGGAGTTGATCCATTTGGGGCTTCAACCTTATCACTATCAGAAGCAAGATTTAAGTGATCTTTAGGCTTCACTGCATTAGAGGCACCATCTGATTCATAACATCCCGTGGCCAAGCCTGGACTAGAACAGGTAGGGGTTTTATGAACATCAGCGGATCCTTGGACAGAAACAAGTTGCCTTGCATGTGCAATATCATACAAAACAAACTCTGTAACCATGGAGTTGTCAAGAACACCACCTTTAATTTCTGAGCACAAACGGCAGGAAACTAGCATCTGCGCAGCAATTGAAGAATCTTTGTTGCTATCATTCAATCCCCATATATTGGCATTGCTCTTCTTTCTATTGCCAACGGAGTGAAAGGTATATACCCAATTGAAAACATTATCTGCCTTCCATGTTTTGGCCAAAAAAACATCTTCTGCTTGATCCATTGAGAACTCAAAAAAGGGCACTCCATGTTTAGCTCCCAACTTGAGATGACCATGTAGGTGAACCGGAGAGCTTGCCACTGGTGAGTAAACATTATCTTTATTGATAAAGCAGCAGTCGAATTCAGAATTCTGAGGTGAATGTGAGAAGTCATGTATCAAAGATTTCCGAAATGTCTTATTTCTTCTCATATTTTCCATCCCAGTAGTTTTGATATTGTCAGCTTCTGCTACATAACCCAAAGGACTTCGCAGAGACTTTGATTTCATGAATGGATCAAGCATCTTTCTAATAGGACTAAATCTGGCCCTTGAGCTTGTTCTGGAGGACCAGTCACTTTCTGATGAAGAGGGTAAATGAGGGGCTTCGACCTTAGCAGAGAGTGACTTGTGCAGATTGTGAACTGTGTCTTTTACAGCAAGGTCGTTACCGTCACGTAAAGGACTGTCAACTGGTTCACATCCAAAACTTACATCCCCCTTGTTATCTGTCCCTACAGTTGCAGCTGAATGTTTTTCTCTATTATTTGGATCTTTATCATCTGAAGTCAGACAGATTTCAATGAAGCCATCTGACGAACATGATTCTAAGTAAGGTTTTCTAATGGATGCTGATTTCAAGTTTGAGCTGACAGACATCACTGGATTTTCTTCTAGTAGGCTTTCCTCCTCTAAATTACAAAGAGAATCGACAATTCTAAAGGAAAAAAGGGTGCCTGCTTTTTTCATTTTCCTTACCTCTTTAGAGCTTTGATAAATGGAACCTCGCTTCAGCTCAGAATTGCCTTCTGGTCCATTGGGCCTACATGGAACGTTCATACAAGAAGCACTGTGGTAGTGACGAAAGCTGATTTCAGTAAAGGTCTCCTTTGCTCTCAATAAATCCTCTTTACAACCTGGTTTTCCTTTTGGATATCTCTTTTCCATGTTTGAACATTGTCGAGGAGAAGGAAGAACAGTGTTAGGACTCAGATCTAATGTGCAGTTCTTCTCTAAGTCCAACTCCATCTCTAGTCCCATTGACACATTTACAATCCTGCAACAAATGCAAGTCATTATGAACACGATTTGACACACCAGCTAAACAGATATTAGCATCTTCAGTAATCCACAAAATTCATTTCTCAAATTAACTATTCCCAAAATAGGATCAAAATATGCCCCATTAATTGGGATATGTTTTACTACATACACTATTTTAATTGCAGATTTGTATTGAAATTTTGAAGCATGCATAATAGCAATCAGTACAAAACTGATTCATTACAACTAAGTTGCTCCATAGTATGATCTCATGCCCAGTTGACCATGTTCTATAATGTTTCTAAAATACTTGAAAGAAAAATAACCCACGTCTTTTAAAAAAGAAAAAATGAAGAACAGACAAAAATCACTAATGAGACTGCAAATAAGACCTTGATAATCAAGCAAATACATTGTCAACAACAAAGCCAAATCGCAGCTCAAGACTCATAAACAAGCAAAACTGATATGCTCGTGAAGGAGAGAGGAGGGGACAAAAAGAATTATCAAACTATAGTATAGTGGTCTTCAACTTTAGAAATAACCCTCATTTGAAAAAGCATGCACCCCATCGATGACTTCAAACTTTAAAGCCAAAAAAATGGCAGTGATCTCATAAACCTATAACCCTTGAACCAACAAGGAATCTCGTGATCTCTATTATATACACATAGGAAAAATGAGTAAAGTGACAGGGATAAAGGCTATATACAATTATTAAAAAAACAACTACTTTATTTTCACTTGCATTCCAAGCCAACAAAAAGTGGCCAAAACAAATAGCTAGAGAAAATGGGCATACCCCACTATAGATCTTACAGAAGAGAATTCAAAGAAACACCCAACAAACTGTAAGTTGATTGAAACATACCCTTTAAAATCTTGAGCTCAAAGTCTCTTATGAATCTACAAGAAGCAAAGAAGAAAGCACCAAAAACCCTTCTTTAAAGAAGAGCCAGACATGACCCTCAAAGAGTACTTGGAATTATAAAAAGAACCCAACAAAACAAAAGTACAATGTGAAAGCAAAAAAAAAAAAAGGAAAAAAACAACAAGAACTGGACCAATACCACAAAAGCAGAATAGACACAAAAAGTATGAGTTGTTTGAAAGAGAAAGAAACATGAGAGAGAAAGGAAAAAATTCATGCCTTGGCTTGCCTTGCCTGTGTTATAGATTGTGCTTGGGAGGAGAGTGAGATTGAAGTGTTGAGCAGTTGTTCTCTCCCACATTAGCTCTTAGGAGAGACAATGAGCTGCTCAGTTTCTGTTCATGTCTTGTAAAAAAAGCAAACTTGTTTCACGTCATCATATGCTTGCTGCCTATGTTGTCACTGGTAAGTATGTTTTTTTTTTTTTAATAACAAATTTCCTTTATTTTTTTGCTACACTATACTTTTTTAGCTAAAGATTAGGGTAAGTTTTAATGGGGCACGCTATTCAAAAAGACAATAATACCAACAAATGATACTGATCTTATTTCATTACCATGGGTAGTTTTGGTTTTTCAATTTAGTCATTAACCAAAAGGGTTGATGTGTCTGTATCACTGGCACAGCACTACTATTATCTTATGGTTTTGGGAACTGCACATTATCAAAACTGGATTTCCGATAATTAATAACTGTTTCCAACAATTAAGACAATAATGTTATAAGTTGCCTTACTGAAATTACAATAAAACCCCATATCATAGACAGTGTGGACCAATTAGTTGACAAAAATGCCCCAACCATGTTTAGGCAAATAATAATGTTCCAACTACGAGAACAATTGGTAAATAGTAAAATGGTCCTGGCGGTTCAATAAATTTCGGAACCACTTTTGTTGTGATCAACTTAAAGTGGCTCAACAATTAATCAAGTTTGCATCATACAACTGGTAATTCATGCTATTATCTCATGTAAAATATTATATTTGTATAATATTTTTTATAAAAATTATATATTATAATTTGTATTGATACGAAAATATAAAATATAATTTTTTAATTTCAATAAATTTATATATAATTTTTTAAAAAATTTTAAATTATGTTATTTTTATATTTTTTATTCATATCATTTTAATATTTTATTATCATATCGTATTTTAAATTATCAGATCTAAAAAAAGAGATAAAAAATAAGACATTTCCTTTGTATCTTTCAATGTATCCTGAAAAAAATGATCTAAAATCAAATCAATGTGTTAGTCTCTTAAATTGAAATGGAAAATTCAGCTGCATATATGATTTGTTGACAATTTAATGACAAAATGCTAAAACAATATTTTTGTTAGGTGGTAAGAATTTTTATATTTTATCCAATATATTTTTTAGAATAAATTCAAATAGAATTATTTATGCATGATTTAATAAAATCATGATAATTTTTACAGTTATTTAAAATATTCCAGCCTATCAACCAAGAGAAGCATATTGTTTTTGCCACTTAAATCAATCCTGGATTGATAATGCTAAAACATTTTAGTACAAGGGAAGACCCATTTGGATGCTTAACTTTGTTCTTGAAACACAAAGACAAATAATTATTCATCTTCAAGAGTAGTTGGAGGGAAAGAAATGAAATAGCTGAGAGAGCAACACTCTTATGTAGGGCAAGCATTTTTGCAGGTTTTTTAATACATTGTTCTACCGAATTTTTGCAGTTTTTCAAAATGTGGCGACTGGTGAAGGACAAAAATGGTAAAAATACAGGAATATGGGAGGAAACAAATGTGGGGTGGTCAATCACATCTGACCCACGGGGAATATGCTGCCTGTTCATGTTTGTCATTTTCTTTTACTACAATTCAGTGTTTTTTTGCCACTTTTGATCACCTATTTTCTTTTCCTTTCTTAATTAGGAATAACAATTAGCAAAACATTACATTCCTATATTATAAAATCTAGTAAATTTATACCTGAAAATTGAAATGGGATTGGAGATTGAAAACGTTGCATGAATGGCTGCTAGTCTAAGAAGTTTTCAACTTTGGATTGGTAAAAGAAAAAGGAGGTTCTTGCTATAAAGTAGCATTAACAATGGCAATTGGCATGGCAACCACCATAACTGAGCATGGCCGTCATATTTATCCACTCCAAAGAATGATTGCGTAGGCGCCAACATACGCAACTCCACTCCATTTAATGTTAGCCCCTACTTCAGAGGGCTGTTGCCACGTTTTTCTGAAGTTTGAATAGAAAAAAGTTATGAACATCCACTGTCATCCACCCATAAAAGAAATCAGAAAGAAGAATTTGGGGAAATTGGGTACTCACTCAATGCAAAAATCATGACTTAAAATGGGTCTAAATTATTTTTAACATCGAACTCCTTTGAGATCCAAAAATGCCACTGCTCCTAAAGCTTTGATTGAACTTGATGAACTGCTTAATCTCTAGAAGCATACCAGGAATTCCCACAAGCAATACATTCCAACTGAAACGCAAAAGGAAGTTCAAAGAATGTTAAATGTTCAAGATAAAATTTATATCTGAATGTATATTCAAGAAAAAAGTTTATGCTGGAAATAGCCTGGAATTTAGGTTCTTAAACCGCCGGAGGCTTTATAGTGCACATAGTAAACAGTACTAAGCTGCATGCAGTTACCTCAAGATATCTAGACAGCTAGGTCCATATGAAATGATGCTAGTTGGCCATAATAGTCATCCTTGAAGTTGAATCAGATACAAGAAATTCCAGTTATAACACTCATCCTTAAAGTTTAATCATAATTGCCATCTTGATACTTTATCATACGCTGCAGTGTCTGTCAATCCCTAATATACAATTATCTCTTTTTTATGATTATTATTAGACTTGCTCATGGGTTGGGCTAAATCAGATTTGGGTTAGATTTAACATAATATTTCAGTATTTTAAACAAGTTCAGGTTATTTTGATTCAATTTTTCGGACTTCAATTTTTGTTTAAATTCATTCTTATAAGAGTTTAATAAAGTTTAAATCCATCTAAAGCACTAGTATTTAAAATTATAAAAAGAATTATCTTTTTGTTTATAAATTATTAATTTAATTAATTTTAATTAAATTTATGAGTCATTTGAGTTTTGATCTAATTTAATTTTGTTAAATGTAATTTAAAATTAAATCATTATTTTTTATTAAAAAAATGAGTTTCATTTTATTATAAATAATAAAGTAAATTGTCTTTGTCCATTATCAAAAAACAAAAGAAAGTAAATTGATCTTGTCCTATTATGATAAAATATATTTTTTAAAATTTTTATATCAAGTTTAATCAGGCTAAGACCTTAAATGATAAATTCAGTCTTATTTTTTAATCAAATCTTATTTATTTATTTAAATTTATTTAATATTTATATTCAAAATTTTCAAAATTTTAAACAAACTTTTCAATTAATACGGACCATCAAACCCATAAGATTATACACTTTATATATGCCCTACCTTATCAAAATTTTTTAAAAGTAACTCAATCAGCCATTCAAAGGTGCAGGACACATGTCTATATCCAGTTCAGACAACAGTGAAAGAATTATAATACCATCTTGTAAGTCTGATATATATTATATTGCCTGTGCTTAATTATGCTCTTACAAAAAAAAGTAATCTCTATTGGATTTACGAATTATCTTGTCTATCAAGAGAGACTATTAATAGTAAAATCAAACTTAGATTTTACAAATAAAGTATTAAATTTACATATTAAAAATTATCAAAATTATATAAAAATAATTAAATTTGTAGAAAAATTTATCAAATTATATTAAATATTATCAAAATAATATCAAAGTTTATTAAAATTATATTACAAGTTATCAAAATTTTATTTAAAATTACCCAATTATACTAAAAATTATCAAAATTACATTAAAGCTTATTAAATTTATATCTAAAATTACTAAAATTATATCATAACTTAACCAAAAAATAACAAAATTATATTATGATTACTAAAATTTAGTCAATTTGCTATCTCTCTCTCTCTCTCTCTCTCTCAACATTTTATATATGCACTATTCTTGCTTTGAATCTTTCCTAATTCCTTTTTTTTTTTTCTTTTATGGGACAACCAGACCGAACAATCATTTGAAAGCCATATATGATTTTCATATCATTGGTGATTAATTTCTAGACTTCCACTCAAATTCATAAGAAGAATAGCGATACAATAATCAATTAAGTCGTAAAATGGAATTGCAAATTTTTTTTTTTACTATAAATACTACCCTTTTCTTAATACTATTATTTTCAACATTTGGTGCAAAGTTTGATTTGAATTTCACTAATTGTCTGGATATTGTTGTCTTAATAACTACAGCATCATGTCTGTATGATAGCTCAAGGAAATTATTTTTTTCATTATTTAAAAAATAGGGAAATTTTTCTTTTTTTTTTTTTTCTTATTCATGGTTGACTGATGCGCTTTGAATTAAATTTAAAGTTAAAGTTTGTCTAAATCATTTTTAATTAAATTTATTTATTTTCGTACTTAATTTAAAATCATCAAATTTTCAATTATAAATTTATATAAATTTAATTAAAAGTACATTATTCAAAATTTTACTTCTTTTTTAAGTCAAGTAATGGAAATGATTTTTTTCCGATAATTTAATCATAATTACAATTTATGCTCAATATTAAAACTTGTTTTCTTAATCATATAGTCTAATGTATCATGTTGAATTTTTTTAGATTGTATTATATACGTTGATATTTGGTATTGTTATGCACCATTTTTTTATGTTTCTATCTAGTTTGATTTTTTTAGACTAAAATAATAAAAAAATATTACATTTTATTATTTTATTTAAATAAGTTTCTTTATTTTTATTGTATCTAAGTAAGTTTTTAATTTTTAAT